GGCACACTCCCCACTCGGAGGGTCGGCCCAGGCAAACCTGATACTCTGCCATTCTCTGCCAGCACGTGCCGAAATTAGTTCTCCATTTGGTGGTGGCCCTCTGAGAGCAATTCCCATTGAGAAGGGAACAAAGGCCGCGACCCCGGGGTCAGAGTGTAATGCAGGAAGCATGACCTCCCCTTTGTTCAGAACAGCACTGTTTACTCTGCCTAAGTAAAGATCACCAATACATTAACTAAAGAGGATTAAAAAGGTCATATCCCCAGGGATGGAGCTCACGCAAGTGGCAACTCTCTTCAGTCACTAAATCATTTGACTTCCCACTACCCCCCTTCAAAAAAGAGACACCTTACGCTGCCACAGCTCAATGTCACGTTACTTCCAGAGCCAAAGTCCGAACGAAGTCCTGTTTCACACCCAGGTTAATTTCTGCACAGCTAGTCAGCTGTTTTCAAGTAATTTTTAAAGTTATCAAAATATTTGAAGTGAAAACTATCACCTCAATACAATTTTCCCCTTTATATCTCCTGCTGAAAAATTCTGAGTTGATTTATAAAATTGTTTGTGTCTTAAAGTGGTTATTAAAAAGTGCAATTTTTTGTAGCTATTATAAATGAGATTCTTAAAATATTCTGTAGTCTGAGGATGGGCAGAGAAGGTGCCTGTTGCTGTAGACAGTTGCTAACTCCGTGATGGTTCACATGCAAAGAGGAGAACAAGGCAAACAAACTGAAAGGATGCTACCTATGAAAATTCACATATGCTGACAGCTGAGCTTTATTGGGCTACAGAAGCACTTCTCTGGGCTATTAAGTTCCCTCTTATCAACTTTTTTATAATATCTTTGAACATCATTATTAATATGAACATTAACAGAAGCATCTCTTGGAACAGCTAAATTAACGCTGCCTTGGTAAAATACGGGAGGCGACACAGTCAGTTCGAGAGGAGTGCCCCCTTCCTATGCTACCTCTAATCCACCAGCCTGCTGGATGATCCCAGCTTTTGCTTTCCACCTCGGCTTCCTCGTCTCTGGGGAGGTGGCTCACTGGGATGCAGATTTTACCATCAGTTACTCGGCCAGGCCGGGAGGAAGAGAGCATTTGGAAGGGAGTGGTCTAGACAGATATTTTCCCTTCTCCACCCTCAGGCAGGAGCACCTCTGATGAAGCTGAACATTACGTTAGAGGTTCCAGAAGAAAATCACAGGAATAAAGCCGGGCAGGCAGGGCAAGCTCTTGATCCAAGTCTCTGGTGCAGGGAGCTTAGCAGAGACAAAGCCCAGGCGGGGTCAACGCAGCTGAAAGCAGCACAAGATCACCACCCATCACAGCAGCAGTGCCAGAGCCAAAGAACAAGGTCCTGGAGCACACGGTACAGCAGGGATTGCAAGGACAGGGCTGGGAGGTGAGCAGCTGGGCAAGGACAACGTGAGCACCGAGCACAGCTTTGGAACGGGCTGAGGCAAAGAGGTGCCTTGTCCAGAAAGCAAAAGCACTGGACTGAAACAACCACAACAAAGAATATACTCAGAAATTAATATCTGACAACGGAGAGTGGGAGCATAAGGACTGAACCAATGACATAAGGACAATTTACTGACATACATTAGAAGCAGGAAGACTGCACAACAGTTGTCTGGCAAGTCTGAAATAGTACTGGGAAACAAAGGGAGTGAAGAAAGAGGACAAAAAACACTGCAGAAAAGGTAATGGCTGATTATGACCTTGAGCTGTTTAGTCATACAAAAGAGGAACCTATCTCTTCTCACCCTGTATGACCATATTGACATTTCTTGTTAGCTGGGTTCCTGATCTGGGGTATTCAGGAGATAATATAATATAACCATTACTTCTTCCAGTGAAAACTCCTAGTCTTTTCCAGTTCTTGTTCACCTTCTCACCAGCCAACAGCACTCTCCCTCCAAGATGGGAAGCAACAACAACGCTACGAAGTTATAGAACGAGATGTCCCTTCTCTTGAACAGGAAAACAGAGAAAACGTGACTTTGTGACACAGCATTCTTGTATAGTCAATTTTTTTGGGGGTGGAGCAATCGTGAGCCTACCTCACATTCTGAGATACACCCCTTTATCTCCTGATGTCCAGAAATCCAGACAGACCCAAAGGTACCTTTTAGGTTAAAAAGAAGTTATCAGGCTTAATACAGATGGAAAACTCTATGATATTCAAGTAGTCAAATTGTTCCCCCTCTGGTCCCTTCAAACAGCAAATCCCATTAATCAATTCTTTTGCAAGCAAAGGGTGAAAGAGCAGCAGATAGCAAAGCAGAAAGTGCTGAAATAATGGGATAAATTAAAGGCAAGCCACTCCAAGGACACATGCAGGCTTTCGGAAGGGCTCAAGGTTGGAGGCAGGGTTTTCCAACAAAAATCTGCACTCTGCTATCAGGAATGAAAGGGTAGCAGTCCTCAGAAATAGCCACAAATGATGATCCAGATTACATGCCAATGAATTCTGTGACTTAGTAAACTGTCTGGAAGGCTACTTTAAAAGATTATTATTTTAATGCCTGAGCAGGGATTACATAATGGAGAGAAAAGCAGCACTGCTAACATAATGAAAATATGTCTTTTTTCACTTGGGGTGCACCCACAGAAGAAATGATTATTTAGTCGGCCTTTCAAAAGGGCTTTGACAACGTGACTCACGAAGGCCACAAAGAAAACACACTAATCGTGACAAAGTTGGAATCGTGATTAAAAACCAACTAAGCAGCCAAAAGTAAACTGCAGGAATGAAAAGACATTTTGACACAAGAAAGGTTCGTAGCTGCTGCATGCAGAGGTCATGCTGGTACCAACTTTTACCTTTAGTTAGTGGTCTAGAAAGATCAGCTGTAAAATAAGAGTGGCAAAACTGACAGGTGAGGGGAGGGTATTGGGTAACTGAGGGGTTTAACAAAGTTAGGTAAATGTGAAACGTGGTAAATATTTTTTTTATAATTGCTAAGGAGATCATATTGCAACATTTTCAAAGGGAAGAGACCTGGGTGCCCATAACAAGTTGACCAAAGCTGTCAGGGATACACAGCAACGTCAGATAAGCCAAGCAGGAAAACAGGCTCCTGTATCCAAAACCTTACCCTTCTACTATCCCCCTGCCAGGGAGACACCTTCCTGGAGAATGCTATCTGCAGTTCTTGTGGCAGTCCCTCACTACAGCTACAGCAGGCACAGGAGTGCAAGGGCAGGTGACAAACAATATGACTTACAAGAGACTGCCACATATGGAGACAAAGTAATGAAACTATTTATGCTGGTGAGCACATGAGCAACAGGGAAGGCAACAGAGACACAGTTTGAACGTCAGGAACTACAGCCTGACTCTCACCTACTTCCAGTCCTGAACGGGAAATTACTCAGCTAAATTAAAAAAGCAGTAAATTTAAACTGTGGGAATATATTATTTTACAACATGCAGACTGAGCACGTGAAAATGAGTCCATCATTAAGGGACATCAGTGGGAATCTGAAAGAACAGAGTTCTACACTTATACTACAAAAATACAGTGTTAAACGGGATTGCTGGGTGTAAAGACCATAAAAAAAGGCACAAAGCCACGGTGGAGCCACTGGCCAAGGGATCCACCTGGCCCACTTCCTGACAAGGACAGGGTATTCCAGAAGGATCCCATGTTGGTTACCTTCGCCCTCCACTCTCTTACCACCCCACCTTTTGGAAAAAAGGTCAGGGTAGACTTGGCAGGAATTAGTGTGAGGAGCTGGGCAGTAATTCACCCCTCTGTTCTGTATGGCCAAAGGGAAGGGCAGAGCAACAGCCCAGCTCTCTCAGCCTGATGGGAACCCCCCACCCTCAGCCAGCCAGAGGCTCATACAGCACCACCGGCACATCACTCACAGCTCACAGGACACCTCACACCCTGCTTGGCTACTGTGCTACCTGCTCTCATGCCCCCACAAATAATTAGCGACAGCTTTAATTGTAAGACACTGTTTTACCAAATAAATACAGTTCCTTTTTTATCTTACTATCTTTTTTCCCAATCCACGCATGGTTATTTGCAAAAACCATTTAACAATTATGAGATTCCAAGCTGTGTGTCAGATCCTGGGATACTGCCACTCACATGGTGGTTTGCTACACTCAGCCTTTGGTCTTGTGGCTCACAATTCACCCGAGCTGCGAGAACAGCTCACCACAACCCACACACTGCTGCTCCTCAAAGGAAGACAAGGGTACATAATTAAGAGATGATGAGCTCAAATGTAAGACACGAGATGTGGGAGCAGATTCTGTAACCACACCGGTGAGTGGTTTTACTACTAAAGAAGTTTCCGCAGTTCCATCTTCCCTCACGGTATCAGTAGAACTCGCACGTTTATAAAATACATTTGCAGCAGCAGAGGAAAAAAAAATGACAGCTACAACCATGTCAGTGCAGAAAAACAGTTTTAACATCAATCGTATGGAATTAAGATTCTAAATCAGCATTATTAACAAATTGCCCTTGTAATAAGTGTCGACAATGTCTTAAAAAAAAATACAGTTTTACTAAGAATACCATAAAAATCTCATCCCACAAGAATTGTGACCTGAAAAATATTCTCACAAAGTTTTTCCAAGACTCTGTGATCCTGTAACTATGGCCATAATATAAAGAACTATGGACAGAAATATCTGTGTGTCATGTGCCAGCTGGGGGACTAAAGGCATGGAAATGAAAACCCAGAAGTGGGTACAGAGTGGATCTGGAGGATCAGTCCCTCACTGGTTATTCAGAATAAACAAAAAGTCAAAACACTTTTCTTATTATTCTACAGAGCTGAAACTAGTTTTTGTTGTTCTTACCATGACTTACTAGTGAGAGAGTTGAGAAGTCTGGAGCAAAACAAGGTGTGAGTACAGCTCCCAAACTCAAGTGAGGAGCACTGACTGACCCTCAGAGACTGGCACAAGCAATAACAGGATTACATGCTCACTTGTTCTCCAATTTAAAAAAATAAGTTTAGTTTTACCTAAAAGGTGGCTCCGTTTTGTCCTGCTGAACGTCCCATCTCCACAAGGCAGTGACCCTCTGCAGAGCCAGAGCCTCCCAGCAGCAGCCACACCCTCCTCTTCCTCATTTTTTTCCACTGACCATAAAATACTTTCCAAGCCAGGCCCTGAAAAAAAAACAAAACAAAACGAACCCCACATTTTTAATAGACACCAGGTATCACACTGCTGATTTAATCAGGCAGGTTAGAAACAAATCAATGTATTTTCACACACATTTTTATTTTCTGTTTCATTTCAAAGAAATTCGGTAGGCTTGATTTGTCTCTCTATTCAAACCAGAGGCAAAAAGCCCTGCAAAGGTGTTGTATGCTGAGGGCAGAACCAAGCCCTCCAGCTGGCTCTTTTTCGAGTTTCACATAACATGTTGTCCATTGGTACAGGAAAAATTCACAAGTCAGGGGCTCTGCAGAGCACCTCCAGACAAGCCTATATATTCTGCAGCAGTAACAGAGGCCAACACAAGACAAGCTGAGAGAGACACCCCTGAGGTTGTCTCCTCAGTCCATGGGGTTCTAGGGATTTGACTCTCAGGCAGATCTAACTCTGCCTTTTTGGGGGGGGGGAAAGTAAAACTTTCCTGGCCTATGTAACTCTCCCAGATTATCAAATCATCGGGATCACAGTATCTGCAGCACAGGTAATAACGACACTGCACAGCAAGTATCACACAGCACGTCCTTCCTCTTATTACCAACATTTCACACCACTTATTTGACTGATAATTCGGCCGTACAGAGAACTATCTGGAAACTGATTGTTGCTATGAACTGTTTCGCATATTGTGTCATCTGCTGGCTTTAATTCACTAGCTAAACAACACTGTAATTATACATTTCATATTCTATTTAACCAGAGAATATTCACACGAATACAAAGTGATAAAACCAACTTCCTCCCGTATCTCAAAACCCACCCAGTTATTTGCAAATAACCAGCTCCAGCATTCAACAAAATACAAATATTTAGGGTTCAAAACACATTATTTAGGATTCAGTAACTTAAGCTCAATTTTTTTTTGCAAATAACTGTACATATATATTTTTGTTCTGCTGTTATTAGGTCTGGGAAATTAATATTAAAATAAGCTGCTTGATCATTTAAATTTAGAACTAAATAAGCAACCTGATCCCACGGCTTTATGATATTATCCTTGCTGAAAGAACAAATTAATCTTAAAACGGGAACACTGAGGTTGTGCTGAGATGTCTGTCAGGGGATGACAATGTATATTACAGGTCGTATACTAAATCGTGCCAAATCCAAAATAATTTTGTAAGCCCAGGCCCTTCTACATATTTATTCATGTACAATTCCATACCCACAAAAAACACCGTTGTAAGCAAGCGATCCAGGTGTCAAGGTGTTGTTCCCAGTTTCATTCAGTCCTGCATCCTAACAGGTTTCCAGTAAGAAATTCTGAAATCTCAAAGCCTGCCTAGTGCTGTATTTGCACACCCACAGTAAAACAGAATTAACTTGCAGAGTGTACCAGTCCTTAAGTATTTGCAGACACGTTTATTCTCACAGAAATCTTTGTTCTCTAACCCGCGGAATATCAGGTGAGATGTGTTCCTGCTATCAGACTGGTTTCTCCAGAACACCACTGACTTTTAAATCCAAATACACAGCAAGGGAAATGCCAGCACTTTCAGATTTTACTCCCTACAAAGATTCCCCCTTCCCAGCCCTGTATTCCATATCAGAACAGCACACTTACTCCAGGCTGCATTCCTATTTACGGAGATGCTCTGCAATAAAGGAGCAAACAGGGATCCAAGGGTTAACCAAAGGAAAAAAACAAAACCAAAACAACAAACCCCAGCACCGAAATGCCCAGCCACGCTGCAGACCTTGCAAGAAAAGGAAAATGTTCAGCAGACAACAACCTAACAAAAGGCAAACAGAATTTAGTGCCGCTATTGCCTGGATACCAGCTTGGGATTTAGGCAGCCTTGGATTACAAGGACTATTCCCCTGAAAATCCAGCCCACAGTTCCTGCACTGTTTTCTACCAATACCACATCCAAACTGTGACTAAACACCTCATTATGCTCCTCTGGCACTGTCTGAAAGCACACATATTGTACAATTTTCTGGGGCACCTAAAAGCAGAGGGGAAAAAAGTGGCTGTTTTTCACCTATCGGTAATGAAACGATGAACAGCACATCCCCTGCAAGAGCTTGCACGATCAGGGCATTTTCTTACCCCCCCTTTTCTTTCTGTGCAGGCAACAGGTGACAAAATACAGCCCCAGCCTTCAACTTTAAAAATAAAAAAATGCATAGAGTCTACAGGACATCTACACTGTAACAGTCTTTTTTAATAAATTAAAATTGAATGAAGAGGTTTAACTGGGCCTCTACACTGGCTTCAGAAAGTAAATGCTTTTCTTAATACTCATTTGTAGAGGTTTCATTTAAAGAAAATACAGCCCTCACAATTACAAATACTAACCAGGGACTTGAGGTAACGATCTGGTCTTGACGGATCTTAAAAGAGAAAACGCAAACTGCATTTTCAAAGGAACTGAATGCCTCAAATATTTCACTACAATCTCCTTTTCCAATAACTTGCTAATTGATCTTAAATACATAGATGAATTATGAGGCAATAACCTCCAATTTTCTTAGCTCTTACTCCAGACAAACATTATATTCTGATTTATAGATATCTGAAATATTTAATTTGCTGTTCATGGCACTTAAACAGTTTATCTAATTTATGAGAAGTAAGGATTCCACGTTAAAGATTGCTTCTATTTTCTGCTTTAAGCTTCACCACTTCAAAAGCGTTTTCCCCGCCTATTATCACTTAGAAATAGTCTCCCTTTGTGCACTGGACATGTTACTGTAGCTCAGGAGGCCGCGGCAGTGACACGATTCTCTCGCCAGTCCCCACATATCGCTCATTAAATAATTCTACTCCCATACGTACACACGCAGCTGGTCAAGAAGTGACTTTGCTGCGTTCGGCTACATCTAGGGCACTTCCACAGCGAGCCCTGAAACAAAACCCCACCGAGCTACAGAACCGACGAGCTTCCCTTGCTGAGCCTTTCCGAGCCCCTCGCTGCTCACGCTACGCTTCCAAAGCCGAGCTGCGCCGCAGCACCACACCTGCGTCTGTTGGAGCAAAAACCCCACCACGACAGCCTAAAAACGGCTCGCCTCTGCTAATGCCCACTTCTCGGTCCGCAATTAAATAGGCTCTTTCTTTAAAGACAGCATTTCCTGAAATATTTACACCCCTAAAAAACAGCTTTCTGTTTTGGAAAGCTTTGCAATTTCTTCCCTTTGCAAAAATTCGGCTTTGCAGTCCCAGCGAAGAGCTCTGGGTACAGCAGATGGTTAAAATTCTGCATCATTTTTAAGAGCCTCAGAGAAAGCACTGCCTTTTTTCGGGGGAGGGCGGGGGTGGAGGAGAGGAGAGAAAAAAAGCTGAGAACAGCAATTTGCAGCCCTTTTTTTTTTTCCTTGACAGCAGCAAGCCCCGCCTCAGTCTGGCCCTTCCTCCAACCTCTGCTAACCTAAAAACCAGCGCCAGCCTGGCAGCGGGCCAGGGATTCAAAAGTAAACATTATCCTCCTGCCATTTTTTAGTGCTGTTTATCACATCCTGCTCCCTTTTTTTTTTATTATCCCCCCCTCATCATAGCCGAAATGCCCGGCTTTGCCCCGGTTTGTGTCTCTCCGCAGCTCCCCGCGGAGCTCGGAGCCCGCTCCTGCGCTCGGCGGCAAACCTGCAGAGGCGTCCGAGGGATGTCCCTGGCCGGGGCCGCGGGCTGTCCTGCACGGAGAGCGGAGCCAGGCGCACCTTTCCCTGTGGATGTCCCGCGGGACGGGGCGGGACGTCCTTCCATCACCACCGCGCGGGCTCTTTCCCCGCTCCCCGCACAATGCGCTCGCCTCTCCCAGCGCTGCAGCTGCCGCAGCAAATGCGGGTTTTGCCTCCGCGGCTTCCCCATTTGCTTATTTAATTGTACCGGGAGTGCTTAAAAACCAAACCCATCCATAGGCGGCCACAGCCCTGCACCTGACTCTTTGTTATCCCTACCGCTCATCCCCATTCCCGGTCCCTTCCGCTCCGCGCTGCCTCCTCCCATCTTGGGCTGCTCCTCGTTTATAAAGGCTCTGCAGAACCGCCACTCATTACACTGGCTGCTGGCGGGGGGCTTTTACACACTCGTGCGCTGCCCTGAGCGGACAGCGGGCCCAGCGGCGGGAGAAGGAAAGGACATTTAAAAAATAATAATTAAAAAAAAAAAAACAAGGCTAAAAAGGAGGGCGGGAAGTAAGCCTAACTAAGCCGCGCATCCCCGGGGAGCGCGGGCGGGCCGGAGCACGGCCATGTTGTGCGCGGGGCAGCGACGGGCCCGGCGAGCCCCTCCCGCAGCCCCGCACAGGGCCCGG